TTTAACTATAATTATGTTTGTCGTTGTGTATGTATGTGTGGGCATAATTTTTCTTTCAGGTCAGCAATGGAGAAAATTTATTTTCTATTTTTTTTCAACATCAGAAACTAAACAAATATTTAATTTGAAAAAAAATATTTAGACGTTGTCAAAATTATAATTTTCTGTTATTGTCGCTGACAAGTCAAAACTTCAAGTATGCGATTAACTCCTCTGGGATATATGGTCTTCACAAAAGAAACAGATGTGCGTTTTGATCACTTACATAAATTTATGCGGATATTTAAAAAAAAAAAATAGCCTTAGCATTACATTATCGGTTAGGAAACACTAATAGTTCATGTTTCGGAGTACTTTTCCAAATACATTAACCGCCTGGTTTCCTTGAATCTTTTTCACATCTTCTAAAAGAATTATGGAAGCAGAAATAGTCATAAAATGTTTTATGTAATAAAATAATTAACATTACGTCATGTTCAAATTTTGATGAGCAAAACGTCTGATAAGCTTTTGAGAAATTATTTTCAATTAGCCCAGTCTTGAGTTATTCTATCGTCTGGGTGGAGCATAACTGTCATGCAATTATCACGCTCTTGACTGACCAATCGCAGTGTAAGACGTGTAATTATCACATGTGCAACACGCCATTTTTTTTTTTAAACCAGTCGCGTGGGTGGCTGTTTCCATATAAATTATATGTGTTGATTTTTTTTAGTCTATTTAGATTTAAAACTGATAATTTTCTCTTTAAGTACGCGCTTATATATGTTTAAAAGGTTTATATATATATATAAAATATTATGACTTCCGCCATATTAAATATATTGCAAATACACAGAGGTGAGTTATAAATGCATTTTTCTCCTGTTCCATTACTGATTGTCTTGATTCTGTGAGAAGTTTGCCAAAGGATATAATCTTTTAAAGTTTAATCAAATACCGTATTTTCCAATGTATAAGCTCAAAATCTACTTAAGTCTTATACATCTGAGATATGAATAATATATATTACTGTAGACGTTATTTCTAGTGGGTCACATGTTTCAGATGATAATCTTTTCTTTGTCGTACAGTGAAATACCAGTCGGCATAGAACGAGCAGTCCTATTTAAGAAAAATGCGCCTCCCAGGAGGACTTGAACCTTCACCACCTTTTTCATAAGAGAACACTCTCTTATGCGTATCGTTACTAATTTGTCCATCGGAAACGATCTGGATAAAGCTACATTTAATACCTCTTTAAAGAACACACGTCTCTCTCGTTGGGTCTTCTACGAATCTGTGTCTGCAAGATTCAGTTTCGAACTCTCAACGTAAACAGTGTATATTTTACATGGATTTTTTAACATCCACCATTATTTCTTATTGTTATCAGCGTTATTTTTAGTGGATACACGTAGTTGAGTTTTTGTGTTTAAAGACACAATTCGACTTTCTTCGGTTATCGACGGACTCCGTAGCCGAGAGGTCATAAGCACGTCGAATCTAATGACGGCTTCCCCTAGGTTAACGCAGGTTCAAGTCCTGTCGAAGAGCGCAAATATTTCTCGAATATTCAGACTGGTAAACGAAAATAAATACAACGTTTACTAAATAAACGGCACGTCTACTAAGATAGGAGTATCCACTAAAAATAACTTTTATACAATAAAGGGTGTTGCAATAACTAGGATGGATTTTAAATGTGAATTAAGTTTAAGTGTTTAATAATTTTTTTCTTTTTCTTTCAGATTTGGCGGACATTTGGGCGATATTATTTTTCACACATAATTGCCATGACTTAAATAAAATGATCCAATAGAGAAATAAGTAAATTTTCACCAATAACATTGATTTATTTACTGCTGACTTTGATACGTCTTAATGAAACACCTTCATATATAATCCGACTGAATGAAACACCCTATATATATATATATATATATATATATATATACTCACACACACACACACACACACAGGATGCAATGGGTAAATTATCGCTATTTTAATATTTTTAACTTCATGCATACGGCTTGTTAGCTTTTGATTTTATCGACTGCACAGTATAGAGTAGGGTCAGTTGAGCACCGTCTATGACGAAAACAGCATCATGATTCAATTCACTTCGCTAGAAATTTGGAAACGGCATGGTGTACTGCTTGGCATTCACACCGGAAGCTCCAATACAAATATTTCAGAGTGTTTGTGCGTCAATCTGAGCACAGTGCAGAGGGCTCGGAAAGAGTTGGTTCGAGTCTATTGGAGATTACAAAATTGTTTGGAGTGATCACTAGTTATGACCAATAAAACAGCAAAGATGAACTGAAGGCAAGGATTATGGCAGCATTTACCAACTATATATATACTTATGATCCTAAAAATTCTAACGATCTTCATAATAACTTGTTTATCCTTAATGTTCCTGTAAATCAGCTCGATAATGTATGATCTTTAAAAGAAGTCTAATGATTTATTCTACTGTCTAAATGTTAACTTTAACTACTAAAGTTACATGAGGAGTTTTTCTAGAGTTAAATCGTTCGTCCTGCCTATATGATGGAATTGCGATCTACAGATTTTGTAAAATTTTGTTCATCTTCCTAAAGACTGTAGCGTACAGGGTGACAGGGTGTTGGACGCGACAATGTACATTCTACCAAGTATTTCTTAGCATAAAGTTGCTGTCTCTCTCAGCTTGTTATTTTTCCACGTTGCATCCTGCTACCATAGCAAACCCAAGAGTAACAGCGCACACGTACCCGATTGTTATTAGATGACATTGGTGCTATGACTTATGTTTATGCAGCGAATATGGAAAAGAATCAAAGAGTTTTTTCTTTCATACTGAATCGAAGAATTCTTGCTTCCATATTGCTTAGAAGCTTTCTGCTGCTTGTATGCATTCTTGATGAAAAAATCTACTTAAGTCTTATACACATAAGATATGAATATTACTGTAGACGTTATTTCTAGTGGGTCACATGTTTCAGATGATATTCTTTTCCTGTGTAAGGAAGTCTTATTCGTCCAATCTGGACTATACCGATAGGAATTCAGCTATCTCCTAATTCTTGTGAATTCTGGTCACAATATGGATTTTATCAAATTCAATTAAATATATTTTCTTGACAATAACGATAGCATTTAATTCATTAAAATAAATTACTCAAAGATACCTTAGCTGTTTATATATCTTAGACAGGCGCCTTTGTTATAAAACAGTAGTTGTCATCCTTATTTCATGTTGCTGGTGTCAGTATTTTCGCTCAACACTATATATATATATATATATATATATATATATATATATATAGGCTGCCCAAATATACTAGGTCTGTCTAAAAAGTAACAGGACTTAGCCGTTCTGCGATGTGAGAGGCATTGTCCACAGTGTGCCCCTGTCACAGGGTCAGACGGACAATCAGGTCTGCAAAGAGATTTGTTTCGCTTAGTACGTCAGAAGAGACGAGAGTTTTGGCAGGACAAATTGTGGTTGCTTCACCACGGCAATGCACCTGCTCATGTAGTTTGTAATTTGAATTGAAATATATTTTGTGTGACATCAATCCCGTTACTTTTCAGAGCTCATATATATATATATATATATATATATATATATATATATATATATATATATATATATATATATATATAGGGTATATTTAGGCAGCAAGAATTCATCAATAACACTTATAAGGTATGTCCATTCCAACGACGGAATTAGTCAAATAGCGATTAGTGATTAGTATTTTGCTTAACATACTAATCAATCACAATTCTTGACAATTACTGTAACAGTCGAAAGTATTTGAACGTAAAAACGATGTACTTGGATAGTTTATTAATAATTTTAATCCTAATGTAAAATATATTAATCGGAAATTGGAAAGACAAAATAAAAAATGGAATAGCAAGGCGTTTTTGGTCTTATTTAGTAATTTAATATTTATATATATATATATATATATATATATATATATATATATATATATATTAAGTATTGGAAAAATGTGGGGAGAAAGCGCGAATTTGTAAACAGTGACTATTACTGCTAATAATGCAAGACTCTCTAGGTTACCTTGCGTGTTTATGAAAAATAAATAAGCAAAAATTCGCCTTTCTGACGGGCGTCGATAGCCTAGGGATTAGAATCTCCGTCAGATACCAAATCGGTCGGGTTTCGGTCCCGGCTTAAAGCGAACGGATGTCTAGCCACACTGATGAGCTGTGATACGGCAAAATAGTCTATTAGTGGATGACGATATATATATATATATATATATATATATATATATATATATATATATATATATATATACGTATTTGTCTGTATATATATATAACGCCACTCATACGTACGCAGACATACATGTTTGTGTGAGCTGCAATGCGTGAACGTGCGTGTATGTTTGCGTACGTATGAGTGGCGTCCCGACAGCAATTTTTCTCCCACTACAATAAAACAACGATGTACGCAAGCATAAATAAATGCAAAATTTCAAAAATTAATCAGTTTGTCTAACGATCGCAGAGAGCGTGAAACCCCAGTGTCACAGACTCACATCAATCCAACTATATATATATATATATATATATATATATATATATGGTCCTTCCTAAACGACAAAGCCAAGTGACCTAATAATTTTTCATGGAAGTCACTAGATATGAATTTAATGTCACCAGATATCACCAGTATGACATTTCTAACCAAATAAAACAATTTCATGTGTTTTCTTTCACGGTATCCTCGAAATTTCAACGTAAGAATCCATTTGAATTCAAGCATACTGAATCTCATCTTTGCTATGGCCATTAGCAAAGCACAATGAAAATGATACAAGATTTACTGTCGCAACCTCATTTCTCTTTGCTTTTCCCATACTCACTTTGATGATTATTGGGCTCCCAAAATCTATTCCCAATGTTATTATATGCGATAAGCCCAAACAAAGTTCTATCAAATTGATGTATTAAATATTATCTGCTTTCCTTTGTGCATTATCTTTTTTTACCAGAAATAACTTCATATTCATACACTGACAATGCAGTCTTTCTTTTTCTTTTCTCATTTGACTTATTGTGCAAGAAGAAATAACATATTTGTTAAATATGTTTTATATTTAAATTTATTTTCTACCAGAGCAACGACAGGTAGTACCACTAGTATATTTAATCCTCGCATTTGAAGCTTGAAGAATCGATAGATGAATGTTTATTTGTCAAGATTTGCTATGTTCTTTGCTTTGAATTCGATCTTAGATAGCTCCGTCTTACGAGGCATTGAGCACTTTTTGTTATACTTTTTACGTGAATAGAGCGTAAAAATGTTCTTTTTTATAAGATTAATGGCATAGAAAATGGTATTCACACACACACACACACACACACACACACATATATATATATATATATATACACATATATATAAGTATAATTTATCGTACTTATAGTGCTCGATGTAATATAATAGAGCTATTAAGTATATATTAATAAATATACATGTTATCCCTCACACACACACACACACACACACACATATATATATATATATATATATATATATATAACGAAATGGGTAAAAATTATTTTTTTAAAAAAAGAAAAACCTTTAATAAATATAAATAAAAAACACACATCGATATAAATACATAAATATATATCTAAAAATATACATATATATACATACACCCCCATATATTTACATATAAAGGCAGAAATACATACACATAAGCATATATATATATATATATATATATATATATATATATATATATATATATATATGATGTATAAATGTGTAGTTGCAAAACTCTCGGAGGTGGTCATGAAATATTGGATCTTTCCACAATAATGTTGCTATGTTGTTAAGACCTGGAGATTTGTTGTTGGTAAAATCTTTGAATGTTGTTCATCAAGTGTGAATGGATTGGTGTTTATGTCCAGTGTATTGGACATTTGATGTATTGGGAGTGGAAGACCACTGACTTACAGTGGTTCTCCCAGGAGTTTCTTACAGTGTTCAAACCATTTAGCTTTACACTTTTCAGTGGAACTGCCTTTAAGCCGAATGGAAGACTTTAATTTTGTTCCTAAGAGTATGCTCCAGGCTGCAGCATGTTGTTTTTCTGTATGCAGTCTTACAATCTTGTCAATCTCCTCTTGGATGTACTCTGCATCTACATTGGGATGAGCCTCATCTAGTATCCCTTGTGCTTTAGTGATGTCTTTAAAAGTACTTCTAAGTAGCTTTTGTTTATAACTTGGTTTCACTCTTTACACATCTTTTCTTGCCTTTCTCACAAAGACATTTGAACTGATGTGGCTGTGCTTAACTTTTTCCTCTTTAGCAGTTTTGAGAGTGCAATTTCTTCTGTAAATAACATAAGGTTGTTGTTGTATTGTGTTTCAATGTCATCAGATTGATCAGAGAGCATTTCATAACAATTCTTAACATCTACTGCTAAGGAGTGTCCCAAAGTTCTGTTTGATGATACCTTGACCCAATTGACTTACCATAGGGTCTGGTACTGACAGCTTGGATGACTGTAAGCTAAGAAGGACATGAATAGAAACAACTCTATGATCAGATCTGACAGAAGAAAATATACTACTATTCGTCCTTTACGACTTCATCGGACGAAATTTGTTATGTTGATGAGACTGGATATATACACGAACTTGATATGCTGGGAATTTTAAATTAAAAATTTTAAATTAAAAAAAAATATGAAAAGAAAAAGAACCTAAATGAAATCGGCTCGATTAAAAAAACATTAAAAATTCCCAGTATCCCTCTTTCGTGCGTATGTGTAGTCGAATCGACAGAACAAATTTTGTCAGATGAGGTCCTAAAGGACGAAACGCGTCATAAGAAAATGTTTTCCATACATTTTTCCCAATATATATATATATATATATATATATATGTCATGGGTCCTTACCTATAACTACAGAATGAACTCTTCCTAACACTATGTATACTACGCCTCTCAAGAGAGAGGGACGAATCAAGCCGAGCTTCTCAGCTTGATGGTCGAACTTTCTGCCTCTGAGCAGAGAGGAACCCGGACGAGGCTCCGTCGAAGGGCAGAGTCTCGTTCGGGGAGGTTGACCAACCCGAACCCGTTTATACGGGTTCTACGGGCATTTTTTTTTGGCCGAGCCTACGGGCTCGGGAAACCCACGTTAAACTCGGCCTTGTGCCACATGCAACTCTCGTGGTGGGGGTGGCTAGATACCGAATCGAGTCGAGCCGATAGTAGTTCACTCCAAACCAGACTGACAGTCATACTAACATCTTCCACATCTTTTATTATTATTTTGTGTAATATACCTTCGTTATTTCTACCCTTGTGTTCGTGTTGTTCTTCCTTGGTCCTAACCTGGACTATAGGATATAGAAGAAACGAATTCTACGCGGAGGATATATATATATATATATATATATATATATATATATATATATATATAAAAACATTTTTGCTATCGGTCGTCCATAACAAACATATATATATATATATATATATATATATATATATATATATATATATATATATATATATTAATAATAAATATACATTTTCTTACTCACCGTTTGATACAATATGAAATGTTGAGACCCAAAATGAATATTTATTATTAGTATAATTTTTAGCTCTGTCATTGAGGACTGTTTTATTACCACCATCGCTCACTGTGTGCTATTTTATATTTATATTATATGTAGGTAGGTTCAGATATTTTTTTAAAGAAAATAGTGTCATCATTGTATTTTATAAATAAAACCAGTCAAAAGCTTTTCTAATTAAATAATCTTAGTTTAATTGAATTTAATCTCTGTAAATGGGAGTCCTGTTTGATCAAAAATGCCAATTAAGAGCCGCAAAAAAGAATTTCTCGAAATTTCATAAAATTAATTGAGTTGTGGTTAACAGTTGTAAAAATATATTTTTGGAAAGATTTAAAAAAGAATTTTATTCATATTTATTAAAACCCGAACATTATCTGATTTTTGCAAAAGTTTCCAAATCAATGTGTTTTACACAATAGAAAAACGCTAAAATTTCCCATACTAATTTATGGTCACCCACTGACGCAAGAAAAACAAAAATTTCGTTCCCAAAATTTCGAAGGTTCTAAAAATTATCAAAAAATATTATTTAATAATAATAAAAAATCCTTTGGTCTTTCATCTTAGAAATAACATAAGGATTTTGACAATCAGTCTTTGTTCTTTTATAAAGCCTGGGATATTTTTTCATCATGTATACTCATCTCTTAACGAATCTTTGAAGGTAACTAATTAAATGTATATATTTACATCAACTCGTCACTTAAGGACAAGTAGTTTCACCTGACTGCTACTTCAGGCATACTATGCGTGTAATGGCTTTTTGTCAACCAACTATAATTAAATTTAATGTCTCATTTACAATATTTGTAACATTTCCAATTTATTTTCAAAAGTAGTAGTAAATTACAGTAGTGTGCATAACAATAAACAAATTCTAATATATTATATGCATTACTTCGATTTTTAAACGTTTATTAACTTGTGGAGCGAAGACGGAAATAAATACCAAGACAGTCAAACACCAAATGGCAAAAAATGGTTTCTGAGTCAGAGGATTGCGCATTCTTCCGGTTAATAAATTAATTTTTTGAAAATAAATATTTAACACTTTTCAACCAACTAATCGAGTTCCAGCCAACAATAAAAGAAACATGTCCGTTATCCCTTTGAAGGGTATTTAAGCAAAGTTTCTAGACGGACAAACCAGTAAAGTGAGACAACGGCAACGGATAGCCACATTTCACGATGCCAGGCTTAAAAGAAATTCCCTTACTCATCCACCCCGTCTTCCTCACCAAGCTATATGAAACCTATACTTTCCTTCTCACTTTCTTCCTTGCCTTTGCTTTCTCACACATACACGCAAAGAACTTTCTTTTCATCAGCTACAAACGAGGACTGTAGAATTTTGACACTCATACACGCTAAGAAAACATTACTTGTAAAATACATGAAAATACAAATATCTTATATTTTCAGATTAAACCATTTCTCTGACATAGACGTGTATATAAATGTAAGAAACCGCTCGGATACTTCAATGTACTTCAGTTTCTTAGTAACTATATTAAAAACAAATAAAGAATTTGTCTGAAAATGAAACGTTTTTCCCTAAATAATTAGTGGTGGGTGGGGGTAAATATATTTTTCGTTTTTTCTTTGTTGTGGGTTGATTCAAATACGCAAGATAATGTATCTGACATTCAATTTACAGTGTAACCCGGATATAAGAGACCCGGATATAAGAGAAACCCAGATATAAGAGAGATTTTCTCTGGTCCCAAATTAGAGCCTGTATTAATGTATATAAAATAGACCAAACCCGGATATAAGAGAAACCCGGATATAAGAGACTTCTTTTCCGATCCCGACAACTCTCTTACATCCGGGTTACACTGTATTTCTTTTGGTTCATTTTGAAGAAAGAGAACCAATCAACGTTTTCGTACAACGTACAGTACCTACTTGTTGGGGTTATTTTTTAAATTTTAATTTATGAATGGTCGTAGGTCCGAAGTCTGCAAACAGCTTATTCGTTCAGTGAAGACAAGCTGCATATTTTTTTTTTCTTTATTGATTTGCAATAAAGAATATTCCTTGTCAATCACAAGCCAGACTTAGTGGCACCCATTTGTCTTTTTGCTCACCCTACTGTACCCGAAAATATTTTTGTGATAAGATTTGAAAGTTCATGTGGACGTAAATGGACTATAAACAAATTGGAGCGGCAGTGATATGTCTTTTTTTTGTTTTTTTAGTTTTTTTTTTTTTTTTGTTCATCGGTCATCCATTGTCAGTTTCTGCCAGACAACCTGGCGACAGCGTTATCTTATGAACATTTATCTTTTCTCAGGTGCTTTACATACCTGTTCAAATAATCATGCATCTATATATTGACGTAGTGAATTGTGATTAAGAATCTCAAGTAATGACCGCGTTTTTTCGATTCTTTTCACTTCAGTAATTTCAACTTCACCCAGCAGGAGACATATTGACACCCACACTCCTCCCCCAAATATTTT